GATTACTCATGCCTTTAGGTAGGGGGTAGAACCTCAGAGGGGTTTTGTAGTAGCTTACCATGTAACATCACTTACCGTTCTCAGCACAAGAGTATTTCCCTGCCTCCAAGTATGGCTAAAAGTTTCATGCATCATACCTTTGAGGATATGAAGGATTGATTCAAAATTTAAAGGATAGTTTCATGACTCATATTTTTTTTCATATTGCTTTAAGATTATTGACCTAGCCACATTGCTAAATTAGACTAGTGGGATTGGTTATGTAGAAATATTCCTGGAATCTTGTCCCAAATGGCGTCAAAGAATTTTGTTTTTTGATACCGTTGATCACTCTTATTATTTTAAAAAACTTAACTTATAATTCAATTATTTTTGATGCATTTGTCAAAACTAGTGAAATACCATTATGTTTTTATATTTGATCAATGAAATATTATTTGTGCATAGAGGTTTTGCAACTTACAAGTCAATCTCAAGTCTAAAGTAGGCTGGGTTTGTTGTATTTGACGAAAGATATTCAATTGTTTATCCAAGAAACTGGTACTTAATTTCCTAGAACTTGAGAATTGAGATGCATGTTGCCAAGTCAACTGCTTCCTACAGATGGGGTTTCTTAATTATCTGTTCCAGATCAGAGGCATACAATTTTGGAGCATATAGTGTAATACTTGTTTTCACGTATTCATGATTTTCATATAGTTTTTGGACGAGGCTGCAGTCCAGAAGGTATTTTTGAAGTCCTTAGACAACTACATTAAGTGGTGCAACTATCTGGGTATCTTGCCAGTGTGGAGCAAGTAAGTATTCTGGTTTAACACCGTTTATTTTTTATGATATGTAAGGGAAGTGTTATTGCTATATCTCGTAGCATTGTTAAAAATAAAAAATTCAATTCCGTCATGTATTTTTTATTCAGATTCACAGATTCTTTCAATCATTGTTTGCAGCCTTGATGTTATCAACAAGGAAAAGAAGGTGCTGTTCATTTCTTTGTATTTCTTGATATGGGGTGAAGCTGGCAATGCTCGATTTCTTCCAGAATGCTTGTGCTACATATTTCATCATGTACGAAAATTCCAGCATTTCATATAATATTGCTGGTACTACATGCCATTTAGTTTGCTGTTTGTTTTTATCTGCCCCCAAAGTAATGCCCTTTTTTATTATTTAAACACCAC